CACACACACACACACACACACACACACACGACTCTAGGTGTCCTTGCGTGCATTCGTTCGTGCTTGCGTGCGTGGGTGGGTTGTCATGTTCACGATACGTAACTCCACAAAAAGAGCATGACTGATCCAGACTGTTTTGTTGGACTTTTACGGACTCATCAGAAGGTTGAACCCCGACAATCTGCCCACGATGCATTTGCATGCTTGCGTGTGCGCATGCGCCCGTGCGATGCCATGTTCGCTAGAAACAACTCCGCGAAAGCAGGCATGCGTGAGAAAAAGAGAGGGAGAGGGAGGGAGAGAGGAAGGGAGAGAGAGGGTGTCTTCGACCGTGAGCAACAGCCGTCAGTCGCATGACAGGACCGAACGATGCAGCACGTTGACGAGTGTGCACTCCTGGAGTTGTTTGTCGGCTTCGCTAGGTCCGGTAGAGGCATTGGACTGGAGTAGGGTGAGGGCACCGCCATGCAACAGGCCAATGGCCAGCAGGTGCGGGGGCGGGCGCGACAATCCAGGCCGCCCGCGGCCTACCGGGCCGATGGCTCGGATCGGCCCGCGATCTTAAGACTTTAAGATCGCGTGGAGATCCAGGCCGTCCAGCAGCAGGGCGGACGGCCTGATGATTGTACTGTTTCAAATTGAACATACTCAACACAGAAGGCTCCACTGACAAGAAAGCAGTGACCACATCCGTCAATAGTCCGAAAAAACTCGGAGAGCTCTCTGAGTTGGTCCACAAAGCCACAAGATTAATTGCACAAGTACAACAGCACTGACGCTGCTATTCATCCCAAACAACCATCATGATCATGATCTCTATCACTCCATGGGTAGACAACCTGCTTTTTCACTTTGCTGTTCAACCCCTGGAGTGTATAAAGTGCCATCATCCCAAACTCCACAAGATTTCCACTCGACATCAGAAGCACTACTGCTTAAAACACCCTAGGATCCCCCATTTCTTCCATGGGTGCTCCAAAAGAGCAGCCTATAGGAATGACACCCACAGCAGGCACTCTCTGAGCCTCCTTGTGAAGATACCATGGCCAGAACTCGTAACATACATTCCCAACCCAAAAGGAACTGGTGGCCACCCACAGACATTCCTTCATCAAAGAAAGAACCCATGCTTCATCTAACCAGGACAAAGAATTAGGCCATGTATAACAAACAAAACAACCAACAGAACATCCAGCCACAAAAGAAGAATAGCACACTAGTACGAGCCCGATGTGTGTGTGTGTGTGTGTGTGTGTGTGTGTGTGTGTGTGTGTGTGTGTGTGTGTGTGTGTGTGTGAGAGAGAGAGAGAGAGAGAGAGAGAGAGAGAGAGAGAGAGAGAGAGAGAGAGAGAGAGAGAGAGAGAGACGGGGGAAGAGACACGGGCAAACAGACAGACGTACAAATGGATGGAGAACGGATGGATAGATACCGAGGGCAGAAAGGCAGACACAAAGACTGACAGAGTCACAAGGTCAGACAGTCAGACATAGTCAGAAAACCAGTGAGATGTACAGTCTGCAAGAATTGGACAGATAGACGGACAGTCAGACAGACAGAGTTGGACAGATGGACAAAGCGTCTGACTGACGGACTGGCCCACCAGCCGGCCAGCAGGCCGACTGACGGACGGGCGGATGGAAGGACGGACTGGCCGACCAACTGACCGACAGGCAGCCAGACAGACCGATCAATCAACCGACCGACCGAACGACCCACTAACCAACCGGCAGGCAGCCGGATAGACTGATCGATCAAGCGACCGACCGACTGACCAACCAACAGACCAATTGACTGGTCGGCTGGTCGACCGACAGATTGGAATGGTAGGACGAATGGATGGACGAGCGTGACAGACAGGTGTGTTCCAATAGACGCAGAAAAAGCCCAGCTGACTGCAGGACAGACGGACTGACATGTACTATAAGGAACATATTAAGAGGTTGGGGGAGTTTCGGGCTTGGGGTCGCGAGAATGAGAAGAGGCGAAGAGACAAAGAGGGACGGAGGCGGTGTGTCGCGGCAGGGAGGCTAACGATAGGTTGGACGGGCCAAACAAACAGACAGACACACAGGTTTTTCAATTGACAGAGAAACAGCCAATCTGACAGCAGGACAGACACACTGGCATATATAAGGAACATATTAAGAGAATGGGGGAGTTTGGGTCTCGGGGAGGCAAGAAGGAGAAGAGGCGAAGAAAGGAAGAGGTATGGACTCTGGAGAAGGTGTGCCAGGGTTATTTATTAATTTCCACAACCTAACCTACCTGAGGATGCACTTGGCTCCCATCTTACCTGGTAGCTGAAGGTGGTATCTGGTCCACTGAGGCTGGTAAGAGACCAAAATGGCCAGTTGAGAATGTACGTGGCGTCCGGTGGGGACCGCAGTGGGACCGTTGCAGATCATAGGCGCCTGCGTACTGCAAAGGGTCAGGTACATTATCTCCTCACTTGGCTATTTTTGTCTCTGGCCATCCTAAGCAGACTAGCTGAAGAGAGTTTTTCCTATTATATAATTTTATATTATTATCTTAGATAATACTACATAGCCTAGATCAAATAGATCCTGTGCTGGAAAAAAAAAAAAAAAAAAAAGATCAATCCTGTGCTGGGGTACGTAGTACATACCTGTCCCTTTCTTGCACGCTAAGCCGGGAAGGCCTACAGTTCCGTTGCAGAATGACATGTGGCCGCTCTTCAAGATCAGCACCTACGTTATTACCAAAAAAAACAAAAAAACAAAAAAAACAAACAAGGATTAGCATCAACAACAGCATCAACAACAACTTCAACAGGAAAGGGTTTGTCAACGAGCCTTTCGAAGAGGGGCCTGCCATGGAGATAGATGCCTATATTGACTGGCACCGAGCAAACGATATATGATGGAGCGATTGTCTTCAGTTTCAGGCCGAAGCACGTGCGTGGGGTGTGGAGGTAATTAGGCGCTCCCAGGCAGCCGGATTTGCAACTTCGCCACTATCATCAGCAGTATCGTCGACGGTATCAACAACAGAATCAACGGCAGCATCATCAACAACGTTAACAACAGCACCAACAACAACTTCAACACGAACGGGTTAAACTTTGTCAACGTCAACAACGACCAGGGGTGGAGTGCAGCCCACAGCGGCAACACAAACGGCCCCAAACATCACTACAATGGTACAGCCAGACCGTTTACAGCAAACGCAAGCGCGACAGCGGACTCATCATCGTCGACATCCACTACGGTAACGACCGGGCAGTTTGTGCGTCAGCCCTGCACCGGTCAGGGAGGTAAGCGACAGTGGACGGATAAGGAGGAGACAGACAAGCCTTTCGCTCTCCCTCTACACTTAACCCCCTCATTTTCGCTCCCACTGTTGCCTCTCCTACTGGTCTGTGCCCCACTCTTACGAACAGGCGCCGACTGTTCTTTCTTCTCCCTACGAAAGTGAGGGGTGGGGGGAGAGGACCGGTGGGCCACCTTTCGTTCGAGCATGCATGGGGAAAGGAGGCGAGAAGGAGTGGGGTAGATGTCGGGATCAAGGGTCATAACTACCCCGCCTCCCGTTTGGAAGTTATCATCAAACCTTGCCTCGCCTTTTTGCACGACTGCTTTGCCTGTATACATGTATGTCTGTCGTAGCGGAGGGTGGGATGGCTGGGGCGACGAGTATTCTTCGCCTTGATCGCCTCTGCAATCAGACTCAACTCTCGACTTGCTCACAACGTGCACACTTGAGAACCGATGGCAAACCAAACTCTTCCAACTCAGAAACAACAATGAACTTGCTTTTAAACTCTGTTCACAACTGTACAACTTGCGGCTATGGCCACCCTTTACAACTTGCGGCTATGGCCACCCTTTACAACTTGCGGTTATGGCCGCCGAACACTGTCTCTACCACCAGCCCCACTCTCCCTCTCTCTCACATGTATGCACGTACGAGGATCACCCTGAATGTCCCCACGCAGCACAGCCTCACACACTCTGTACACTCGTCTACACCAACAGCTGGGCGGCTATGGCCGCTGTCATCTTCCTCCTCCTAGCTATGGCCGCCGGTGTCTCCCTCGCCGGTTCGCTATGGCCGCTGTCTTCTTCACAGCCCACTTCTTCTCCGGGCACCTGCAGACCTCCACGCACAAGATACCAAGGCAGCTCTTCCGCATGGCTCACAGGCGAATGAATCAATGGCTGGACGCTGCCTCTTTATTTATACCTCTTTGGAGGTACCCGGGCCTGCCTCAAAACGTGTGGGCCTGGGCCAAAACGTGTGGCCCAGGGAAGTTTCTAGAGGTTTGGCCTTCTGGGCCAAAACGTGTGAAACCCACAGCGTGCTCCAGAACCTTCCCCACGTGCAGCCCTTACCCCTGGTACTTGCTGACTGGACTGGCCTACTACAGGGACCTACGACCTTCTAGACTATACAGACCTACAGACAGATTCCAGTCCTCAACAGACTTCGTAGAGACTTCTAGAACAGACTTCCTAAGCCTATCGGTAACAGACCTAGCTGCTAATCTACAGACATAGGGATCAAGTCCTACTGCCCAAACTACAGACTAATCTGGGATGTGAAACAGGTCTAGGGACCGAATCCTACTCAGCACACAGGGTCTATGTACAGGTACAGGGTAGGTCTAGGGATCGAATCTCACTTAGCACACGAGATCAATGTACAGGGTTGTGGCACAGGTCTAGGGATCGAATCTCTGTGACTGCAATGTCAGGTCAACTGGGTGAAACTGTTTCACCTCGTCTATATACGGTCAAAATCGCTTTCATTAGAGCGTGTGTGATTGGAAATACAATGATATATACTTACTGCTCTTGATCTACTACAAACACAGTGGGTAAATGGACTACAGTGGAGGGTAATTAGGAAGTGTGTTGAATTTTCCCGCTCCCTGGTTTCCTAGAATGGATATGATGAGAGTAGTTCGGATACCACACAAGAGTGTAATAGATTTCGGTTACAACGACAATTCGACTGCTATGACTGCATCGCAAACCGTCTTGATTACCGCAGGTTGTTGGCCTTCCGCCTATCCGATCAGACCTGCAGGGGTGGACAGTCGTCAGGAAGTCTCTTCCGCAGATAAGATAGGGATTCCGTCACGCGGCAGGGGTGGAGCAGAACCTCATTTGAAGTGGTGGGGATTCTAGTTTCGCGGGTCCTCTGTCGGGTAGCCTGGTGAGGATATATGCCTAATTGACCATAATGGTGGGCAAAAGTTAATCCCGTCGAGTGAGGGCAATCAATGCTGCCTATCATCCACCAACTTACATCTGGCTCCATTTCGTGCTTTTCCTGTAAGTGGGACGCTGGACCCGGCGGTTTCCAGCAGGTGCAGCTCCCCACCAATAGATTGGAGCCGTCTGATTGGGAGGCCTATTATTGGAGGATGCTCTTACCGCCTCCAATAATAGGACTCTAGCAGATGTTTTTCCACAAAACAACAACAACAACAACAACAACAACAACAACAACAACAACAACAACAACTAACCAACTTTATGGCAAGTTCATGCTAAAAGAATTTAAAGAAAAGGACTCAGCAGGAGAGTAAATGCCCCGAAACAAAAATAGTACCAAGGAATTTCACCAACACACCTCCGCAATGTCCGCATTCAATGCATTAATTTACTCCAACACAGTCTCACAAAGAATCATCTGACCACATTTGAACACAGTCTCTGCCGGTTGCATTCAATGCATTCACGACTTTGACCCCTGATGCGCGTCGGCTGGCGACCGGCTGAAACGCGGCGTAGGGTCGCATCGCCGTATGATAAGCCTGAGCTTTACGTTAATATTATGCGATCTTTTTTTTTTTTTTTTTTTTTTTGAGATGATGCCCCAATCTATTCGTGGGGAGCATCACGAATTGGGCCCAGCATCCCTTATCAGAATACAAAAAATGAGCTGCCGGGGCCATTACCCGGCTTCGACTGAAAACAATTGAAGAAGAAGGAAGAACTCAGAAACACTAAAACTCTACAAAGTCACTAGAATATGTGTGTCAAAAGCCTCTCAACAATGAATGAGATAGGTGAAACCTATTCAATCCACCTACGACTACCACCATCATGGCTGTTTTCAGCACGAACCGAAGCTCTATCGGTCGTGTTCGGGAGAGCTCCTGTGTCTTCTCCTCCTCCACCTTCTTCTTCTTCTTCGTCTTCGTCTTCGTCTTCGTCTTCGTCTTCGTCTTCGTCTTCGTCTTCGTCTTCTTCTCCTTCTCCTTCTTCTTCGTCTCTTCTTCTTCTTCTTCTTCTTCTTCTTCTTCTTCTTCTTCTTCTTCTTCTTCTTCTTCTTCTTCTTGTTGTTGTTGTTGTTCTTCTTCTTCTTGTCCTTCTTTCTTCTTATCCTCTTCTTCTTCCTCGTTGTCACCTTCCTGTCATCTGTGTCCCCTCATGACATATCCTTGGTGTCCGTCGTTGTCTTCGCGGTCACACTCTTCCTATTTCTTATATCTTCTGTTGCTTGGTTCTCCAATCCTTCTTGCCTCGCTGTTAACACATGCGTGCTTTGGAGGTGCTCTGTGGTTGGAGTCACGATTTGCTCTGAATTATTGCGGGGTTGAGAGTCTGTCTCTGCATACCACATTTGGGACCACATTCAATCAAGATAGTTCTACTATCTTCCTCCCTCCCCTTACTCCCCTTCCCCCCCCCCAAAAAAAAAAGAAAAAAAAAAAGATGTATTTTCCTTGTAATCATGAAAATATGCCACCTGACATCCGTCAATAAATACTGTAACAATCATTGTGATGATGATTCATTTGGCATCGTGTTCCCGGGGGTGGGAGGAATAGACTAAGTTTTATACAAGCTATCTCTTGGGTATGGTACAGCGATGAGTATAATCTGTCTCTTATACACATCTAGATGTGTATAAGAGACAGATACAACACCGCCGTGTGTCGCCTTCGCCTCAGTCGGCGTCATCTTCTTGTGTGCCTTAAAGCAGGAAGCAGCCCCCCACTTCGACGTTCAGCCATATCCTGCGCAGCTTCAAACAGGGCTCGAAGGAGCCGAGGGTCACAGCAGCGGGAGGAGGCGAAGGAAGCAGCGGCCATATCCAGGGTTACCACCAGCCTCTCTCTCTCTCTCTCTCTCTCTCTCTCTCTCTCTCTCTCTCTCTCTCTCTCTCTCTCTCTCTCTGTGTGTGTGTGTGTGTGGAAACTGTGCAGCTCCTCCTCCTCCCCGTTGCTTCCTCGTCATCATTCTTCTCCTCCTCTCCCTTCCTCCCTCCTTCGCCATACTTCTCTTCCTCGCTCACTTATCATAGTGCTCCTCCCTCCTCATCATCGGTGTCGTCCTCCCTCCGCCCTCCTCCATCATCGGTGTCGTCCTCCCTCCGCCCTCCTCCATCATCGGTGTCGTCCTCCCTCCGCCCTTCTCCCTCCCCCTCCTCCCTCCGCCCTTCTCCCTCCCCCTCCTCCCTCCGCCCTTCTCCCTCCCCCTCCTCCCTCATTATTGGTGTGCTCCTCCCTCCTCCATTCCCTCCCTCGTCATCGTTGTCCTTCTTATCCTCCCTCCTTCTCCATACTTCTCTTCCTCCCTTGCTTGTCAGAGTGCTCTTCCACCCCCACCCCTCGTCCCTCCTCCATCGTCTCTCCTACTCCATCCCTCCTCCATCATCTTTCCTCCCTCCCTCCCCATCGTTCTCCTCCTCCTCAATCCTCCCTCGTCATCAATCTCCTCCTCCTTCCGTTGTTGTCCTCCATTGCCCTCAAGGTACCTGTGACGAAAATCAAAGCAGACTGTCACTCATCCACACACACTATATATATATATATATCGTCAAACAGAGCTGCCCGGTAAACCGTAGCTAGAGAGGGAGAAGAGGACAACAAACGAGGGGCTAGAGAGAGAGAGAGAGAGAGAGAGAGAGAGAGAGAGAGAGAGAGAGAGAGATTCTGCGCTGGGGCTGCCTGGAACGTTGCCTGGGCGTGTATCAGGGCACAAAGTTGGGTGCCGAGGAAAATACCCTAGGTAATTGCAGGATTATTCTGAGTTTGTTTAGTTGCACGGCTGGAATCTATCCGTGGATGTGGGGAGTCGTGTAAGTGCATCATCTGCACACATGGACATGCTGAGGTCCAGGTGCATTTTCAGACCTGACCTGTGCTAATGTTGTCCTTTGAAATGTCGAGCAGCTATTTCTGTGTGTCGACCGAAGGAAGTGGGCTAGAGGGCCTCCCCGCACTACTCACCCAACACGGTTTTCGGTGAGGTAGGCATGGCCGCACTACCTAACCTATATTCCCTTTCGTCAGAATGTAGTCCGAATTCGCGCGCATTTCAATTGCTGAGGGCTCACCGAAAATGCAGACGGATTCCCAGCCCAAAAAAAGCGCCTACCAAAAAAAGCTTTTTTTTGGGCACACACGAGTTTGTTGAGTTTTCCACCCGTCCAGACTGCTGGTCTGGACAAACCTTTTGTCCTTTTCCTTTGTCCTTAGCGAGCCTGTAGCAACACGGTTCCTTCGCAACAGAAGTTTCAAATTGGTGAGTTGGTGCGGCGAGGCCTCGGTTTGGTTTAGGGTTTAGGGTTCGGTGTGGTTTGGAGTCCTCTCTGTGTTGGTGAGTAGTACTCAGCAAAGTGACCAAACATTTTCAAGATTGGTGAGTAGTGGGGCGAGGCCCAGAGAAACAGTAGTAGAGATGTTTCCTGAGCGGTAGTAATATACTATATAGTATATATAGTATATATAGTAAAAGTCAACTGACGATTTATTTATTTATTTATTTATTTTCGGTTTTTGTGTTTTGTCTTTCGTTTTTTTCTTTTCTGTTTTTTTTTTTTTTGCTTTTCGATTTTTCAGTCTCTTTTAAGACAACTTGCAATTTCCAATCAGGACTGACGAAATTAATTCTTCCCTAAACCTCCGCATCCACAGAGAAGAAGTCAAGAGCCAAAGACAAGGTGGGAGATGAAACCAAGAGAAACCTTTGGGTATATTGGAGATGTGAAGTTAGGGGGGGAAGAAAGGAGATGCAGCAGGTATGAGGTAGGTTTGTGTTAGGGTTTAATAAAAGCATAAATATTAAATATTAAATGTCCATTGAATCACATTTGAGGTTTAAGGGTTTACATTGCTCTGAGCCACCAGTACTTCCTCCTCAAGTCGAGACCGTAAACAAGCCGCGAATTTAGGAAACGAACGACGCACTACAGGAGTGTCCAAATTCATCCGACTAGAAATGTTTAATTAAAAGAGCCAACACTGGCCATTCCATCAGGTGTAGGGTTTAGCATTTGGAGATAATGATTCCGCCGTCATTCCGGGTTTAGGGTTCGACAAATGCAGCAACTGCCAGTTTCATAGCGCTGCATCCGGTCTCCGACAGTGAGGCTCACAACTTCAAATTGCTCTAGAATCGACCACGAACTGGACCCCCTCCCCCGCCCCCCCCCACACACACACAAAAAAAAAAGAGCCTTTTCGAGAGAAGAAGAAAAAAGAACTCCTCTTCACCATGATCAGCTTTTCTCACAACTTGAAGTTGTCTTTTTTTTCCCTAAGGCGCGACTGGTACCCCCCCCCCCCCCCCCCCCCCCCCCCCCCCCCCCCACCTTCGCCCCCCCCTCTCCTCCAAACCGAAATTAATTTAGTCCATCCCCATCATGAGAGGAAAATTCAGAACCAACGTTCGAGGAATTCGGAAATTTACGTAGAGCGCATACGAGGAGGGGAAGATAAGAAAATAAATTTGAAGAAAAGAAACTTTAAGAAAGGGAATTTTTTTTTTTTTTTTTTTTGTCGACGAAATATTACCTGCCAGGAAGGTACGCGATCAGCGGTGTAAAACTTCTGATAATTACATTCCGCAGGAGCGCAGCTCTGTCCACTGACAAAAGAAAAAAAACGGGGTTAATAAAAAAAGAAACAGGAATTTCAAATTTGTTGTCCAAATCGGAGGGAGGGGAAACAAAATAGACAACCAAAATAGAACGAGCGCGTAACACCATGCATACGACTTGTCGGAAACACCGCTGGAGCATGGTCCCATTAGCAAAGAGGATTGGATTTAGCTCCTGAATCTGGACGTGCTTTAAGCAGAGAGTGACTCCATCATGCATGAGGTTATTCATTACTCAAGTTGGAAAGCCGTGTGATGTACGACATCTTGCACGGTTTGGTGGGCACTTTAGTAGACTGGACGGGTGAACGGGCAACCGTTGCAGTGGAACTTTTGACCCAATATTTAGAAGTTACTTTTTTATTTCCTTGGGCAGTTTCTTTCAATAAAATAGGATTGTTTGGATTTTGGTCTATGATGGTCTTTTTATTGATTTTAACTATTGGTTTTGTTTATGAATGGAAGAAGGGCGCTTTAGATTGGGAATAACACATTTGGGTAATTAGCTCAGTTGGTAGAGTGCCTCGTTTACACCGAGAGAGCCAGCGGTTCAAGTCCGTTATTACCCGGATGGGAAAATAGCTTAGTTGGTTAGAGTGCTGGTCTGTCATGCCAGAAGTGGCGGGTTCAAATCCCGTTTAAAAGCTGTTCAATGTCGAATTTCTGCACTTTTCCAGGAACACGTCTAGATTCAGTCGTTCAATCCAATCCATGTTGCTAGTTGGACCTCACCCCTGAGGGCAAAACCAACCCTAATTCATCAGACTATTCAGTGATGGTATTCACTGTATTCAGCCTTTTTTTGGGAGGGGGGCTTTTATTTGCTTTCCTTTTTAAGGACAAATTGCAAAATATCCCCATCAGTTGAGATATATGCCAAAATGGCCCTGAAAGATGTGGACAGAGTGCATTGCCCCTTAAAGTTTGAGGTGAATTCTTTGTGTTACGCCCCTGTCAGGCCCGTGCGCAAATTTGCAAACTGCACCTCCCCGTTCGGGCCTCGGCATTTTGCAAGCAGGCCTTGGAAAAGCTGGCAAGTACTGGGGTATTTTCGCAAAGTTGGACGGTACCCAGTAGGGATATGCTGCAGGCGTATTTCACAAAATTTTTTTTTTTGCTGGTCAGAGAGAGGGCCATTCCGCTCTGGGTAATGCACGAGGCCCATCGGCAGATTCTGAAATGTTTTGTGAAATACGCCAGGCATCTTTTAGAGACATTTTAGCATATATCTTAACTCAGGGGGGTATTTTTCACATTTTTTATTTTTTATCCCTTCATTTTTTCCATTTCATTATCAATTTACGAAATACAGTTTCTTTTTTTTTCTTAAAAAAAAAAAAACAACCCAACCATTCAAACAATTATGTGCCGGAAATCGGGTCCGGGGTCACTTACCTTTATGCCACGGTCATTTGGGCTGGGGGAGGCACTCCCAGCCAAGCCCATCTCAACCGCGGCCAGAAAAAGGTCATCCTGTATGGTTCAACTTACAAAAATCTAACATTTATTTATTTATTTATTTATTTTTGAAAATTCCCCCAAAGGAGGTCGTTGAATCTCTTTTTTTTTTTTTCACAACATTGTCATCTTTTTATTAGGGCCCAGTGGCCAAGGCCAGAAATACAATGGTACAGGTTTCAGATTCAGGGGAAGTTAGGTCTCCAACCTACTTCATGAGGTGGAGCCCCTCCCCTGTGACAGCTCAATGAAAAATCAAAGGAAGTCCTAATGCTAACAAACAGCCGCAGGAAATTACATTTCCTAATCTAGCAAGTAAGTTTTTTAAGAAGACCAGAAAAAAGAGCAAAAGAGTTGATCTACTGTAGAAAAGAGCCGAATTGGAAATCTCCCGTACAGGCATCAATGGATGCCAAGGAGGGATTGCAGGCCCAATGACGGTGGAACCACTTGACTCCACCACACAAGTTTCGTCTTTGGCCAATCTTTTTGCCCCAATCCATACAGATGATGTGCCCAAGGTCTGTCTTCACTCCTTTTTTTTTTTTTTTTTTTTTTTTTTTTTTATTAAAACACCCCCTTCAGTGCTACCGGTGTTGATAAGAGCAGCCACCGCTAGCACCTGGGGAGAGGCTCGATGAAGTACTTGCTGAATCGAAGGAGTCGCGCCATTTCTGACCACTGCGTTCCGGTGCCGCCATAGCCGCCACATCACTGTTGCCCTGATGGTTTCATATACATAAACTTGTGGTTTTGTAAAAAAATACCAAAACCCAATAGAGTAGTCCCCAGAAGAATGGCATCCTTGGACTAGAGGTCCCCATGATCGATGAGAAGGATGATAAGGGAGGAGAGCGGCGTTTTCAAGTGTTGTCCACACTTCTCGCGCGTATGTGCATGTAACCCACAGGACAGGTGTTGTTGGTCTTCCACCAGATGTCCTGTGGAGCAAACTGTGCAAGAAGGGGAGCCTTTTTTTGGTAGAAGATTCAAAAAAGCAGCAGTGGGAGTGACATTGTGCATAATCAGCCAAAGTAAACCAGCATGTTGTGCTACTAGGGTGGGTAGAACACGCCAAAAAGCAGTGAGTTTGACTTGGGAGAGTTGAATCCCTAGTCGTCGCCATTTAGTAGTCATGACGCCCCAATCAACATTGCCATTTAGTCATGACGCCCCAATCAACATCGCCATTTAGTCATGACGCCCCAATCAACATCGCCATTAAGTCATGACGCCCCAATCAACATCGCCATTTAGTCATGACGCCCCAATCAACATCAACGTCGGGCAAGAGTTTTACCCAGGCCATAAGGGCAGAATGTTGGTTGAGAGAGAGCATCTTGTCAGGGTGGCGAGGGTCAATCCAATACCAATCCCTAGGATCTGGAGTTAGATCCTTAGCTGCAGTATCTGTCTTGTAGGGATGAAAGGAGATAGTCCGATCTTGATCGTCTTCGAGGACACTCACTGCGGTCAGGTGGGTGTGGTCAGACGAAATGGAAGAGACTGAGGACCGGTGCAGGGCGGTGCCCAACCCCTTTTGCCCAGTGCGTTGTTTCCATGCTGTCAGTTCCCAGTCAGTGTTTGTGAGCTGGGATTCGAGTCGCCACAAGTGGCAGGTGGGTTGTTCTGTGTCGTCTCGAAAAAAACAAGCCGCTGGTAGGTAGGTTCGCTGAGCAAGGACCGAGGTCCAGGTACTCGGAACAGCGTGCTGAATAGCAGTTAAAAGGGCCCGCCAGTCATGTAGTCCATGAAGTGCAGGCTGGATCTGAAGTTCGTCTTTCCAGGTGCATGTATGTTCGTCCCACAGGCGCATCAGAGTGGCGACACCTCGGGACATGCAAGAACATCCAAAGGCTGCTGTACCAAGTAGAGGGAAGGGAACACCGTCCGAGTTCAAAATACACGGGTTATTAATTAAAGATAGGTTGTGTTGTGTTAATAGGCGATCATAGGTCGTTGAATCTCTAGCTGTACTTCTATGATCAGGTGAGCACAGAAGACCGGAAAAAAAAAAAAAAAAAAAAAAAAAAAAAAAAGACAGTTTCGCAGTAGCAGTCCTTAGGAATCAATGGTTTCTGTTTCGAGGCCGGTTTCCGGGAGAGTAATTGAAAAGTGGAAAACTGAAGCTGGGTAATGGACGGACACCAAACGATGTTTTTTTCAAAAACCAAGAACCAAAAAAAAAAGGGGTCCAGTACACACAACTTGAGCCGCACTTTTTCTTTGGGTACATCATACATAATTATTTATTTAGTTATTTCAAGTTGTATTTGTTTATTTGTTTCAAAAATGACTGGACATTGGGCTGGCTGGCATTGTCCTGCATCCCACGTGTTTTCATTGTGAGGAGGTCGTGAGAGCACATCAGGTGAGGCTTAAAATT